AATCACACTAACACTTAACACTTTGCTGTTTGGATTCTAGTCTTATTTTTGGACAATAGTTACTAGTCTTCTTGTATTTCTATCTCACAAATTATATTTGTATGATTTTTTTAAAATACTGATTGATATGTCAATGAAATAAGATAATTAAATACAGCTTTGTAACAATGGTAATTAATTAGAAACTGTCAGCATGATTAGCTATCATTTTACTTGAACTTTATTGGAAATTAAAATTTATCATTATATTGGGACATAGTAATTTTCATGCGGAAAGCATGCATATTATTTGATGCATTTAATAATATAAAAATTGCAGTCCCTAATTTATTGCAATTTAATTTAAAGCTATCACAGACTTCAATAACAACTTGGTATTCATTGGGATAATCTTGGGAAGGGAAAGTTGGTTGATGCCAAATTTATCAGCTCAGCACACACTTTTGAGCAGATAAGATAAGGCTGGCGTCGGCGTGCGCTCATCCACTTGACACACGAAATAACTATTTCGGTTCACAGAAACACTAGCCATCTACGACTGTCTTGCTTGGCTGAACTTAACGTTCAAGGTCTTACAACTAAGATGTCATTAAAACAACTTATCTCACCCACAAAACTTGACTCCATGTCGGCCGGCTATTTCTATAACTTTATGATGTTATCCAATCAAGTTATTATGAGCGCCAAAAAGTTTTTCTGAGACATCTCACCACCACACAACTCACAAACAACACCGTCACTCCCAAGCACAAACTTAGAACCAAACTTTTGTAAAAACAAAGTTGAAGTAAACTTAGAACTGGCTGGGGCACTAATTAAATTTATTACGATTTTGCAATAACTTTAAATAATCACTAATAGATAGGTACTGCTTTTTAAACAAAACAAACAATATTAAGTTCACAAGAATATAAAAAGAATTTCCCAACAACACACTGCATCGCAACTCGAATCCAAAACTGAACCACAGACTAAACGTAAATGACAACAACAATGTCAATCAACCACCAACAGGTTGAGTCTATCTACTCTATGGATCAAGTCGTATTAGTGATGTGCCGACAAATACAATCGACAATCAATTGTGCAATATATATTTTAATTTCATTATTTAGGTTGTTTCTTTCAATTACCGCTACAATTTTTTTCGGTCATCTTCAGCAAGATGAGGTACATTTTTAATTGTTATTAAAACAAATCAGACCTTATCAACAAGCATGGTTCAGTGGTACTTAGACAGTCCACTTGCTAAGCGGGTGGCTCTTGTTCGATTCCCAGTCAAGAAATGACATTTTTGTTAATGATTTCAAAACTTTTATTTTTATCGTGGTTTTATAAAACCTCACCAATTCTGTAACGATATAAATCAATATTTTATATGGATGTATAGCATGTGTGCTGTTTACAACTGTTCGCACAATGTTTATTTACACGAGTTTTTTTTTATAGATTTTGAACTGGGAAAAGTGTATGATGCCTTGTGTACCATATATTCCGATAGGAGCAAAGATGCAGAGTCAAGAAATATGGCAAATTCATTACTGGGAAAAATGGAGTCACTTAAATTCATCTGCTCTCTACTTATTTGGTTTGAAATTTTAAGCAAGATAAATATAGTTAGCAAGACACTTGAAAAGTCAGACGTTGTAAAGTCAGAAGCGGTGAAAATGATTGATAATGCAAAAATAAGTTTTCTGAATTCCGTTATGACTCCGCTTTTGAAAAGCTCCTTAACAGCATGAAAACTGTAGCGGAAGAATTCGAGGCAATAGCAGAATTTCCCACACCTGCTCGCCCTCGCACTCGTAAAAGGGTTTTTAATTATGAGGCGGAGGATAAACTGATCACAGACGCGAAAACACATTTTAAAGTAAATTTTTACTTCTATTTATTAGACACCGCAATTACTAAGTTCGACGAACGGTTCGCACTTCTCAATCAAAATAATGTAGTTTTTTCATTTCTTCAAAAATTTACACACTGGAAGGATTTGGACTCGGATACAAAAAAGGACATTGATCTAATTTAGAAAATAAACTTTGCCAAGCTGTCTCTTCAGATGTGGAAAAGTTCGAGCTCTTTAATGAAATCAAATTATTACCGATGTTTATTGATGATTCCACTACGCCGTTGGATATTTTAAATTACTTGTTTAAGAATAAATTGATTTCAGTATTCCCAAATCTGCCCACAGCACTGAGAATGTTTATCCAAGACATTTGCTTATAGTGGCACGCACTGATCGCAGATTACAATTATAAAAAAAAGCACTGAGAAATCCTCACACTTACAGTCACGGTAGCACACAGCGAAAGGTCATTTTCTAAACTGAAAATAATTAAACACTATCTAAGTTCAACATTGTCGCAAAGTAGATTGGCGAATTTATCGTTAATAAGTATTGAACATTAAATTAAAATTGAAGTCAGTGGCATTGTTAAAAATTTAGCTAATGCAAAAGCACGAAAAGTATTTTTTTTGTAAAAACATTTGTTTGTGTGTGTACTTACAAATTTTTTTATGAAAATATAACTGTAAGTATTTCATTGTGACCCCGCTCCTACTAGGGGGCGCCAGGGTACTGGTACCACACTGGCGCCACAGGGGCTAGAGTCGCCTCTGGTTACCGCCTGTCCAGCCACTGCTTGATCGAGATATCCCGCTTGCACTGTATTATCGTCTGCATTGCAATGAATATTCCCAATAGGAATTAATTCATTGATATGCAGCAGAAATACAGTGGGGGACAGGACAGAGCCCTGAGAAACGCCAGCATTCACTGACATGAACCACGAACTATTACCATTCGTAAGGACACGAATTCTACGCTCATGCAGGAAGTCAGCTACCCAAGAACAGAACTGGGCCGGCAGACCGTATGTAATTAGAGAGAATGCTTTTGTGCCAGACCCTGAATCCAAGTCTCCGGCACACGCCTCAAAGAAGGGAGAAAACTCCGCTGCATATTTTCTAAGTACTTCTGCTGGGATGCCACTAAATTTCCGGACGTCGAGTAATTGCAATTCGGCGTGAACCTCATGCTGCCTGATTTTAATATCAGGTAATGATGGTAGCAGTGCATTGCAATCATCTAATCGGGAGGTAACCGCAAAGAGTTTTGCCAGTAAATCGGCTTTCGCCTGTGGCTTATGTCCATTTAGGCATATCAGAGGTGGCAGCGAGGGCTGATAGAAGTTCTTCTGCACAGCCTTGGCCTAACGCCAATAGCTACGGGAGCATGTAGGATGCGTTATAAGTGCGTGAGCAACACGTGCAACGCACTGGGCATCCGCACTGATGTAAGCCTTCTTACAGGCCTTGGAAGCAAAATTGTAGGCTGCTTTTATTGAATCGACCTCGGGATCTTTAAGAGCGCGGCCTCTGATCCAAGCACGATATGCCGCTAGCTTACGCGAAACAGTTTCACAAAGTTTCTCTGGAAACTCAAAATTATTATAAAAATAGATGTAAAAATATTTCGCTATCGGTGACCGTAACTCACATTTAAAATATAAAATATACGTAAGTATAACTACTAGAATATCAGGTAAAATGAAACGTTGTCCCTTAATTTATACACCAACGGAATTCGCTTTCTTCTTTCTATGTACGGAGCTCCTAAGAAAACTACCCGCTCAGATAAGCATCGATATGCATGTTTTGTTAAAAACACTCGAAATAAATTCAAGTACATTTTCATTCATTCTTCCAACCATCGCTGCTGCTGCTCATCAACATCTTTTTCGGGTACATAACTAAGTTCAAGTGTGGCTTGGTTATCAACTAGACCTGTTAGGTCTACTGGGGTTGATAGTTGGTCGTCAATACATTAGAATCAGAATTTACTCCAACCTGCGCCGAAAAAATTGCTAAACACAATTTTTTGCAACTGTAAAAAGGGATGCAGTGCTAAATGTGGTTGCAAGAAAGTTGAACTGTTTTATTCTCTGGCATCTACAATGTTGTCGTCGTGTTCTAATGTTGAATCACAGACAGTAAAGGATTCTTTTGCTACCAACAAAGAGACATGCTATACATTGATACTGACGAAATTCATACACCCAGGATGAAAAAGAAGAAAACGATCAAGAAGAAGAACAACAAGAAGAAGTAATGAAAATTATGAATCGGTCGATTTTTTTTTTATTTTTAAATTCAGACGCTATATCAATTCCAACTCTTGCTAATATCTGTTATCATTATGCAATAGTTTTCAATTAAACATAATCACAAGAGACCTGTATAATAAGGCTTACTGGAGAATCTGGCTAAGTAAACTACCTCAGAGGTGACGTGGAAACGTACGCATATTATGACGCTTACAACTTATTGAATCGTTATATTTTAGGAACTGAATAAATAAATATTTCCAACACTCACACCAATTAGCCTAGCCATAAAGTAAGCACAGTAAGGCTTGTGTTATGGGATACTAGGGTAACGGATAGAATACATATAAAGTATCCATATATATACTATTAAAATTTGATGAAAATAGCGAAAACCCCCTTTTGACCTCGAGCAATTTTGATTCCAATACCGGAACGATGGGAAAGTTTGAAATGTTATTTTTTATTAGCTATGTTTTGAACAATTTGACTCACTTCCAATTTGATGTAAATTTATGTACCCCTGAATGTCTAGATTGACCAGATATATTTCAAATCTAGTCTTTCTAAATTCCACTGTTATATATCGATACAGTCCGAAGTTTATTTTGGGACCTATGGAGTTGATTTTTTTCTAAGCTCCTATCTTTCATCTGGTCAAAGCATTCAGCTTTCTACCGTACAGTCGAAGTTTTTTCTTCGCCCAGCTAACACGAGCATATTGTGCTGAATTCAAAAGAAATTTTGAATATGCATCATTTGCTGATAGCCATATTGACAAGACGTACTGCCATCTTTTGGAAGTGTACTCACTAACAGACTTTATTGAAATACCCGGTTTCACAGAATTACGAATTATTCGAAGTCTCAAGGCATAGGTAGGATACTTACATTTGCTGTGGTTAACGTGCCGCTCGTACGGGGCATGGGCATGCGCCGGTGCGTCGCCCAGCTCCACCACCCACGTGACCTTGCGCTGCCCCAGCAACGGTGACTGAGTTGCCATCTCACCAAACAGTTCCCAAGCACAGAACTTTGATACTTCTCAAATGGCTATATTTTAAGTGGAATGATATTCTCCATGTTTGGGACTGTTATCTCTTTTAAAATTATCCTGTTTGAATCTGAAGCTTTCTAATGCTTATACAAAGAGAATACAATTATGTATGCATTTTCATCCGTCACTTACAAGTCTTAATTAAAAGTAAGGATTTGAATGTAAGACTTCGTGATCGTCCTAGAAAGATTTTCTCTAAAACACTTGATTGGATTGTTCTCCTCCTTCGCTTTGTGTTTTGGTGACGATATAATCAATCATGTACTATATATTTCTCCCTTCCCTTATATCTATCTGCACACCAAAATTCATACAAAATAGTAAAGCGGTTTAGGTGGGAAAGCATAACAGACATACAGACTTTTAGACGGATAGAGTTGCTTCCATAATTTGTAAAATTACATTCCGCAATATTGTTTCAGACTTAACATTTACGAAAGTATGCCGAATTTGTAGCCGAATCAATGTAATTATTGATTAAGAAACTATTTATATCATGGGTCGTACCCATTAAATTCAGCCCTTACTTTCACTTATTGTGGTTTGACTACAAGTTACAAGTTCGCTATGTTGGTTATTTTTAGGTATGTAGTTCACCTTGACAACTGGCTTTGAATCTTAAAACTGCGATAGGCCGCCCTTGTGTCGCACGGTGCATCCCACTTGCATACTCACCACGCACGGCCTCGGTTACTATTATGCTCTATCACTAACTCTAATAATTGTTTCACTATTAATAATAAAAGGCATAAAAACATTTCTACGTAATACCTATATCAATCCCTTAAATCATTTCCTCTTGAGAACGAAAGTATATATGTATTTTTTTATTGGGATTATGTTAAGTAGGAATTATTATATCAATAAAGTTTTAAATACAACCTATACTCCGAGTTTGTAAAACGTAATTACGATCTCTTACACAAGACGCTGTGAAAAGGAGTGTTTGCAATTTTCAGCCTAGGATTTTATGTCGTTTAAGGATTTCGGAACGAGGAAGACCTATCTGCGCTATGAGTACTTTAAGCTATAAGTATTTTATTAATAGATAAACTCGATACACTTCATTGCTGTTCCTCGAAATCGAGGTCGCAGTCCCTGGTAGTACCTAATTCGCGCGCATCTCAATTCAACGGTCATTAACTCTCGCGCACGCAGTTGATGTTACGAGTACAAGACGCGCTTTGACGCCAACAACGGATGCTACGACTGCGACACAAGCGGGCGGCGAGCGGCGACATCAACAACATCTTTTCAACAAATTAGTGCTGTAGTGCCCGCAAGCTGTAGTGCGTCAAATCGACACAACACAATTAAGTGTGTAGTTACTATTATTGTCACATGTAGAACTACAGCCACTAGCGATATGAAATTGCGTGCAAATATCTACTGTTTAATTAAGCATAATAATATTATACAGCACATTTAACGAATTAAATAGCTTTCTCAGTTAACAAATTGCATCTTCAAAGGCTAGCTAGACTTGCTAGCAATTAAATTCAAATACAGTATTTAAAAATTAAATAATCCTCAAATCTACGTTCGTAATGAAACTCGATTTTTTCATTCATAAAGTACAAATATAAACTTGTTGTATCTATCTTAAGTTATAAATTAAGTGATAACAAAAATGAGCGGTAAAGATAATGACCTAATTCGTTTAGGTGACTTTATAAAAATATAAATTGATACTATTTTGGCCATAAACGAAAATGAAATTTTAGTCAGAAAATACTCTGTAGATTTAAATGAGGAATACTTAGAAATGAGCGTGTGCCTAAGATTATCTGACATTTGAGTCTATTTCAGTACCGGTACAGAGAGGAATAGCTACTAGGCACTAGGCAATATAATAATAAAAACTAATAATGCTTAAATCTTCTTGTTTAACATAAGTATGACCTATATTGCTAAAATATTTTTGAATATGACAGCTAAAACTGAATCCTATAGGAATTGATACAAATAATCACTGACATTAATTAATACAAACTATCAATCTGCTATTTGAGATTACGTTATATTTATCAAGGGTTACTAAACCTAAGATAGCTAGTATTTGTTTCTTGAAACCTAATACTTAAACCTTATACTGAGTAAAAGGCAGTCTCTGAAGCTTATACGCTATTGCAATTGCAAATACAGAGTATCATGTTAATAGTTTCATCATTTTTGGGATAAAGGCTAAATTACGAACTCGTAATAACTATTTAAAGTATAAATAAAGGACGAAACTTCAACTTGGCAAATGTCAACGAAGTCTAAATGTTTTCTATAATTACGAGGTCATTGTATGTGTTCATACATTGTTTTCGAAGAAACTAGAATAGGTAGTAAACGACAGATAAATTTAACTTTCTCAAACTTACTAAAGTTTTGCCGTGATAAAGTATTTTAAATCATTTGAAAACAAAAAACCGTTCGATAACTAGAGTATTTCGATAGAGCATTGAAATGTTTACCTATTACAAATTAAGAAAGCAGTGCTATTTTGAAAATAGAATCATAATGACGTGACTCTAATAATTGTATACTTTTTGGTGTCATTTATTATATTTGTAAATTGTAATGTTCTATACAGAAAACTATATTTTTGCCAATAAATTATTATCATTATTTAAGATTTTTGGGGCCATACACTTCTATTGAATCGATAGGACCAATGCGACCTAAAAGATCTATTGTGTGTGATTTGCCACCAAACAAAATTACCTATCTCTCTAAGCCCGATAGCTTCTGAGAAGCCCAACATACATATTTTTAGCTTTAAGAGATTTTATTTCCTCTGGATCTATTATACTTACTTATTATCTAGTCATAGATGAATATAATAGTTTTTGGATAAAAGGCCCACTTTTATATAGAATGAAGTTTTTTGATGTACACGCTCCTTTTTGCAGTTACAGTACATTATTAGTTAGTTTATTGCAGTATCTGTAACAGTGTCACGTAATTTTGGCTTGGATTTTTGCTTGTAAGTACTTGATTCTCTAACACAAAATCAAAAGTAAGTTAAGTAATATAGTTTTCCCAAATATAAGAATACACTGTTATACTACTTTCTAGATGATTTATAATACTGTACTTTCTTACAATACCAATTATATGGAATAAAAAGTTAAACATTGTTATTATTACTATGATAAGATAATGATCTTTATTCTATATCTCTGTAGGTATATTATGAGTGTAAGTAATCGAAGTCCCATTTTAGTGTAAGTTAATAATAATAAATAATAAGATAACAAATGAATCAGACAGTTTAAATAATCTGTTTCCCGCAATGAAATAATTAATGTTAGAATAGATGCTGTTATTTTTCATATCACTGACACAGTGCACTTTGTATCGTCTAGGAACTATGCGACTCACTTTCAATAACTCGTAACATAAATTAGCAAAATAATATTGGCTGATAACAAAATATCGCAAAATGCAATAGTACGGAACGCATCGAGGCGACCGGCGCGAGGCGAGAGCGCGAAGGCGTGTTTACGCTCGACTCCGCGATAGACAACTGTCTGAAAGAAAAGGCGGGAACCATATCTACTTCGCCCCGAATCATTTTCTACATGACTGACTGTTTACTATCTTTTAGGTTAACAAAGTAAAGAAACAGAACCGAAGTGACCGAAGAGCTGTGAAAGTAGAACGCTAAGAAAATGCCTATGTTGTTAGAAACGAATTCGTACTTTTCGTTTTCTTTCGCCAAACACTCGGTCACTTATTTTTATCGATACCGTAATGCATCTAAGTATTCATTTCGTAGCTTGTCAGGGCTTTATTTCAGTTTTGTAGTTATCTATTTTTACGCATTATAATTTAAATACTCAGTGACACCAAAATTTTGCTCAAGCATTCCAAGGATTGAATTACTTTTCGGCTTCGGCCGCTTTATCTTTATTAATTATACGCTAAAATCCTATTGTTTATAATTAATACAAGCAAGCAGATTACGTAAAATAGAAGCATTTATTTCTGCATCTATCTGCATGCTTCCAAGCAGGCATTATATTTAAGATATTTACTTCTAATGTGACAAGATCTAAGCCCCATAAGCAAGAGGGTATTGATTTATCCTAGGGACAGAAGCTAATGCAAGAGCTGCGAAAGGCGACAGAAGCTATAAAACGGCATTTGTTACTAACCTATTTTTTGATTTGATATAAAATTCGCTGTTGGAAGCAAGCAAGTGGCCCGGGTAACCAGATTTTAAAATACACCCGCAAGAGTCTCTGGCGAGTTTCTGGATATTGTAAGAGCGGAAGGACAGAGCTGTAAAAGTTCTTTTATGAAGTTCATGGTACTCTGGATTCGCCTAAAAACAAAATCTTTTCCGCAAGGCGACACGCCAATTTCCATGTGTTTTGACAAATCTTAGCCTTGACGCTGAGTTAGTGGAAGTTGGTTATGCTGGCCGATGGCCCTCAGAGTGTTCACGTAGATACGTGAAACACAAAGCAAAAATGTATTTATTCAAATTAGAAGCATGCAAATGCAACTCTGTCGAATCGTCGAAATTGTTTTTCCTACCACCCATCAAGGTAATTTTTAGGGTTCCGTAGTCCTGACAAGGAACCCTTATAGTTTCGTCATGTCCATCTGTCTGTCCGTCCCCACTTTTGCTTGGAGACTCTGTTTGTACTAAATAGCTGTATTTTGTGGAGATGTTTATCAATCATGCCGACAAAATGGTAGAATAAAATTTTGAAAATTGATTTTTAGGGTATCTCCCCTCCCCTACTTGTAACCTGGAAATAATTTTATTTTCTTTATCGTCCAAAAATTCTTAAAAATCGCTAAAGGGTGCTAAACTATTGCCTTGACAAACCTGGGATAATTCATGATAATAGTGTTTTTTATGAACTTTTAGAGAAAATTATAACGGTTAAAATAGATTTGTTAATTTCAGAGTAATAGTCATTTACTGACATAGTAAAAAAAAATTC